TAATAATAATAATAATAATAATAATAATAATAATAATAATAAAGAAAGAGAAGAAGAAGAAGATGATGATGATGAGAACTTGGAGATGGAATATTAATGTAAGGATTAAACAATGATAATAACAAATGCCAAGGTTAGAGGTTCCACTAATGGTATATCAAACAAGTATAGTATAAACTCTTATTATTGAATTGGAAACCACACACTAAGGAGGTTCCAATCAGATTATATATTGTTAACATGATTACATTAGTCATCTTATTCAATTAATGCTAATACTTGTAAATCTCGTCAAGCATTCATGATTATAACTTATGTTAACAACAAATCAAGTTCCTTTCATAGCTCAGGTGTCGGTTATACCATACATTATGGGCTATGAAAGTGCCAAGCATTTGTTGTACCAAGTGTTATACAACATAAATCAAGATTAATCATTTAACAAGCAAAGTATTAAAGAGTGAACAAGATAACAAATATAAAACATGTTAGTATCAAACATTAAAGTCCATATTAAGTTTACATTATACTTATTCTTACACCATTAGTGTAACCTTTTCACCTTGACATAACTAACTTAGCTAGACATAATGAAAGAAAACAAAATAGATAAACAAAATAACAACATAAAAGTTAACTAAGTAAAGGAAAGGAAATGAAAGGCATAAACTTAATATTAATGAAAGCAAAGCATAAACATTACAAAAAATAAAAAGAGAGAAAGGAAGAGCATGATCTTGATCTGGAAACCAAGATGCCTAAATGCATGGCAAATGCCTCCTTTTATAGGCCAAAATTGGGAACTATTGATTTGATGACTAATTGATAAGTGGGTGGCCAACTTTTGACTTGGTGACAATCCTTATCTTCTCTTGTCTGCCCAAAACGTCATTGATAACGTCAAAATTGGAGCCAGTTGCAAACATGAAAGTGGTAGGCAATTGTCTCAGCTTTCTTGTGTAAACAATTCAGCTCATTTAGACTTCTAGAACTCCAGATATGGCCAAAATACCGAACAGTGCTCGGGCTGGAAGACAGATTCGGGCTTCTTTGTTGTTGCTATAATTTGGACTTGATAATGGCCTTTTTAGATCTTGGGCTCCATATAAAAGTTGTAGGCCTATGTCTTACCTTTCCATCCATATACATTGGACCTAAATCTGAGATATATAGCTCTAGATATGACCCAATTACCGAACAGTGTTCCGGTTTGGATTGCACCGATATTTCTTTTCTAAGTTTGGCCATCTCTTTATCCTTGCAATTTAAGTTCTCCAAGTCATCAATCAATCCTTTCATTTATGTGATAGGCCTGCATTAAAAATAGACATTTACCACAAATTATAGGTATCTTATATTATTAGATACATTCTTATAAAACATATTTTAGTTGAGTTATTGATACTTCAAGTGCAAAATGATGATATAAAACCATGATAAAAATGCACTTTTAAGTAATAATCACACCCCCCAACCAGCTTATTACTAGTTCCTAGTAATCAAAGCGTTAAAATAGAAAACAAATTTGTAAATTTCACAAAGCAAGGTATTCATTATTTAACTTCCATTAATCTATCCAGATAAACAAACTCTCATTAAATTTATATATCTGCTCAATACCTCTTAACAAGATATTAATAAACCTTTCTTTTGTGCTCAATGTATCAACACATAATTATGGGGCTTTTCTTGGAAGAAAACAAAATTTTTATTCTAATGTTTAAGGTTAACTTCCTTGGGTTGAGATTACTATTTTTGTCTTTTTTTCTTTTTTTTTAAATCTATATACATATAATTTAAAAACATCATGCATCTTTAACCCATGTAACGAGCTTTCAGCTAATGACTCCTAGACCAGTTGGTCTTAGGGCATTAGGTGTTAAGACACCCCTACGAGCTTAGTAACTCGGGTCGCAGATACTGATATGTAGATAGTGCAATGTTTGATTCCCTTAAGCTTTTCTCCTCAACCCATGTAACAAGCGTTGGGTCAATAGCTCCCAAGTCAGTTGACTTTAGGGTATTAGGTGTTAAAACACCCCTTTGGGCTTAATTGCTTAGGTTAGGGAGGCTACGAAACCAAACTTATCTACATTATTAATATTATCATTTTTTTTCTTTTCTTTTTCTTTTCTTTTTTTTATGTTTTTCTTTTTTAATTATATACAATCCCTTTCCCTTAGTTGTTACCTTTAACAAAATAACATAAATAATGTAATAATCCAATATGCAACCCACAATCATATGTTAAAGTGTGTGTGTGTAAATTAAGGTTTAAGAATACATGTTAAATAAGTATATGAGCAGAATTAAGTGGTAACAATACGAGAGTTTGTAAACCTGAATATTTCAGGAAGTATTATAATAGACCTTGTTAAGAATGATTACTAAGATGCGTCTCAAGAGTCACTTTAACAAAAGAACTCCTTTACTCTGCCATCCTAGTAACAACAATTATGCACATGCTTTATGAAATGAAAAACAATTTTTTTTTTTATCAACTACTACCCTCTCCCCCCAACCAAAACGAGACATTGTCCTCAATGTTCTAAGGTAGAAAGATAGAGTATAGAAGATATCACCTGAAATAACGAACACTGACAAAACCTGAAACACACTGAAACAAAAATAAGAAATAACAAAACACAATAATAAAACCAAAAGACATAAAAATTCACAAATGAAGGCTCAAATCCAATCTAAGCTTTTTACGGCTTTCCTTAGATGACCAATTTATGCGACTCATGGAAGGATCAATCATAGGAATGAAAGATTGTAGTTGGTCAATCAATTATTCGGCAGTAGCAGCAGAGATTATGATTTGTCGTGCAGAAGATGTTAGA